ATAGGCAGTTTATGCAGTGAAGCGTAATGCAGTATCGTCGGCATAGGTTTCATAACCTACAATTACCGTTTAAGTGTGTCGCGTCTTGTGAGACGTAAAACATTCAAGGGCACAAACTTTTTGGTCACAATTTCAACACAGGTTTGTTATGCGTGTTTATTTCATCAGTGACAAGAAGTTAGAAATTCCATGTGTAGCGTTGTTCGCGTGTTAACAGGAATACTCAGCGTTGCGTGTATAGAATTGCGCTGGGTTCCTCGCAATAAGAACCATAATACAGGATGTTCAATTTAAAATGCAGCCCTAATTACAACATTATCTGTAAGATTTGGTGGCATCAATGCAACAAGAAAAATTAGTTTTTTTCTTAATTTGTATTTGTTAATTAGAACTTGCAATAGCTTTACAGCACATGTCGACCACCTTATCGAAGACACAAACATTTCCTGTATCCCGAAATTTTGTTACCAGTCGGTGTATTGTTGTTTTATTCGTTACGTCCTTGACATGATAAGCTTTCCTAAATGCTTCACAAAGAGCAGCAAACGATTTTAATGCGAAGATTTATTTGAGGATCAACTCAACGTTGCTAAATAACATACACATCTACCTACAACCTCAAAATAATAAAATTTTGAAGTCCTGACGTGCGTTGTGACCCTTGAAAATGTATTTCTTTTAAACTTTGTGAGAGAAAACTGAACTTAAACAGCATAATACCAGTTTTTCAGTCTACTCTTATCTTGGTCTCACTTTATGGCGAAATCGACCAGATGGAACGATTGAGGTTGGAAGTTTAGCTCAACGTGCGGGTCACTGAACAATAATTGAAAAGCGCTGTGTAAGATCTCAGTTCGAACACAGGATGAAACGGAATAAAGGAAAAATAAATTTAGATTAAATTTCAAAACGCCGACAGCCTTCTTATCAAATGCATGCCCTGTTCATGACAAGAAAACCAAAACAAACGGCTTATGAGAAGGATGGAAAATATGACGACAATTCATGATAATGCAGGACTATATTCAATGTATTCATCGTAGAAGTTTGAGAAGGCCTTATTCACTTCGAAACTATACATTTTTTAATAAGATTACACTATATATAACTACACCTGTCCTTCATGTCTACGTTTTCAGTAAAGATGCTAGAAGGAAGAATATTGTCTTTTACAAGTTCTGCTAAAATTAGCTACCGCTTCTAGGCCCGAAGACAGGCTATTCTGATTTCGGGGTGTTGGTGGTCTCCCTCAGCTCCTCGAGGCAAATGCCGGAATAGTGCCTTAAATTAGGCCACGATCGCTTCCTTCCACATCCTCTCCAATTAATTATTCACTGACATCCTCTAATTCGTTGCTATAGTCTGAGCTACTGGAAAAGCGTTGTTAAATAAACAAGTTACATAGCTTTTAGAAGTAGCAATACTTCTAAAGGGAATAAAAGTAAGGAAAGGGTAAAGATACAAAACAAATTATTCTCCACTGAATTTCAACGGGCCTTTTCTACCAATGCAATTGGCGAACCGACAGTAGGGACGTCATACTAAAAGCCGATGTTTTTTCAATGTTATCATTTTTTACCTTCAGCCTTGAAGATGGAGGCAGTACGTTTTTCCAAAACCCAGAATATCATCATTATAGTCACCGACGCTAAAACCTCAAATTTTTCATGACAGGGAAAGGAATGTTTGTCTTCCCGTCTCGTAACTAGTAAAAGTAAAGTAAAGTTTGTCCCACTATACGCCATGTAGGCGCTTGGGGGGAGTGGATGTATAACTCCTACTCATTCTTATCCTCGGCACTAGATGGGGGTGAGTGGTCAGCATCACGCCCCGGCCGGCTTTACCCCCGGGAAAGGACCCCGATACCCATTGTAGAGGAGGCTGGGTGGGCCCCAGAGCCGGTCTGGACGCAGAGGCTAGAGGAAAAATCCTCCGCCCCCGTCGGGGATCGAACTAAAAATATGAAAATTAAAGTGGCCAAACACAGGCTTTTTTTTGTCTTGTATGGGTGTGGAACTCGGTCTAGCACCTCAAGAGAAAAACGTAAACAAATTTAGGTTTATTTGCAAAAGAAATCGCTGAGGACTTTCCACCAAATCAATAAGGTGAGACGGGCGGGAGCCATGAGAGAAATGCGAAATATATACCTCGCATATAAAATGTTAATTGGAAAACCTGAAGGGAAGAAAGAAATCAGTTTGGATACCTGAGATTAATAGGAGGATAATATCAATGGAGAACTTAAACAAGTTGGCACAGGACGGATAAATAATAATGTACAAGACTGACTGTCTTTTGGGTCGTTACGCCGTGTAATCTGGTAGAAGTTTACTGATGGAACAAAGGTGTTTACTGCCTGCATCATCAGGGAACAGAGAACTCGCCCTAGAGATGGTGGTAATATGTTCGTGTCTATCTACGAGTCCACACGACGTTACAGCGCAGAATGGCAACAAAGACATCTTAAACTCAGTAAGAACTTTAAATCTCATGAGGATGTCCTACATCCGAACTAAGATTCGAAGCCTGTAGCTGCTGAAAACGAAGCAGAAATGTTAACCTCTACAGCACGATATCGGCTAGATCGACTTATCCACCACACACAGCATCTCGCTTGAAGTCATAAAAAGAGATACAAAACCTCAAAACAAGATTTGTGTGACAATTTGATTCGCCCCGCGAACTGTCAGGCGTCACATTGTTTTACTACTACTCCGAGCAGCTGAATTTGGTGGTTTCTCTGCTTCATACTTCACGAATCCTTCTCCTGACTCTCCCTCCAGAACACCTAGGACCAATGATAATCGAGATGAGCGCAGGTTGGTCGATCTCTGCTTGTAATCGATTACCTAACGTTGGGTGGTCTGCAACCCCCAATTCCTGTGCGCTGGAATGATTATCAGTGAACTGACCAAAAACTACAGTAAAAGGATATGGAATATTTTACATATGGGGGGTCTTTGATGTAGGATAGCTATTATTAGTAATGCCTTGTTACAGAATTCAACCACAGCTACCGCGAAGCCAGATTAATAACATTCTCGACGGTCACGAGCCAAATAGCAATAGCCAAATGATGATGTTTGCGTGTTTATTTGCAATGCAATTTTAAACCTGACGCAATTGTCTTTATATGGAGGATTAATTATCTCTTTATTTGCTATTCACTTAACGACACTCTCAGTACACTTTAGCCCATCGCAGTGAACACACTGCCTAGGGCGTGAGCAGTGGTAGCCCGGGAACTGGTATCGTGAGTTCGAATCTAGCTCAACACATAGATGTTTGTCCCGTCTTTCCGCGTTGTGCTGTCCTGTGCGTGTAGAGACCTTGCGACGGGCTGATCACTCAACCAAGGAGTCCTAGCAAATGTCTAAGTAGCTTACAAACCACCCATATGTGAGGTCAAGGTCCTTCAAAGTCTGTAAGACTATACATCACGTTGTTTTTATGATAATTAATAAATTGGAAAGGAGATGGATGAAGTTGTTGTGGTTTTAATTCCTTAAACAGGACGAGAAACCATAAGCAATTCTCGCATATTTCAGTTCATATAAGTGTTACAAAGTATTCAAAGGCGTATTTGTAGATTCTCGCAAAACAAGCAGGATTTATGGTTCCCACGGCGGATAACATGAAGATGGCTGTCTTCTGGTTTCCAGCTCCGTGTACTCTGGTAGACGTTTATTGACGTTCCAGAGGTACGCCCTGATAATAAAGGCACTTTTGAAACGTCGGTAAACGTTTACCACACTACACGGCGTGAAAACGTAGAAGACAGCAATCTTTATTCTAAAAACATTCAATTTAAATAGTGAGAGGTATGCATGGATATGAAAATAAAATGTTAAGCTTCGTGCTATGACCGAAGTTTAATTCAGGTGTAGAGGTGGTTGGTAATGCTACAGAACACAAACTTAGGTCACAGCATTGCTGGTAATAAAGCGATCAATTCACCTGTAGAAACTCTTGCTGAAAACGCTCGTTTCGTGACAGCCAGAATGGTCGCCACTTTAACGCAGACCATTATTTCCAACTCCGAACTTTAAACACACTAGCAAACAACATTATACATCACAACGCTTGCAAAATTTGACTTACTTTATTTCGTCATTGTCCATTAGAGTTCCTCGTTCTTGAAATCACTGCCGTTTTGGGTTTGGATATTAATATTAGCATTAAATTCCCTACTGACTGCATAAAATACACTGAGTAGCTCAATGGTTCTGAGTCTCTCTTGAAAAGTTCAAACTTACTCAGCTAGCCAAGAAATTCGCCGTCTTTTATGAAACCCTAAGGTTCATTATCCCAGCCCAGCCGAAACGTCGGTCAACTTCTACCAGACTATACGGCGCAACAACCCACAAAACGGCCATTTTCAATAAGATATCTCTTTTCACCTTTGATTAACTGTTTTATACGTTTAAAATTTTCCACCCTGCTAAGTAATTTTAAGGCAAAGCATTAACGTCATAACGTAATTAAGAACGTCCGTCATATTCAGTGTAAATTTGCGATGTTAAGTACCACATTAATGTACTAATTAATCAGATAGTTCCTTAGGCGTTCAGCGATTTTCTGATACGCTTAAGGGCTCATACTTCTGCCAGACAATTTTAATGCAAATAATAATTTAATAAGGCATCTCCATAGCTACTCGATACATGTATTTGTTCCTTCAAGACCATGTTATGATAACATAAGTGTTTGAGTTCCATAAGATAACTCTCTGAGATTTTCTTTAATTAGTATTCAATCCAGCCACTTCTAAGTTAACGAGCTGTTATTATAATTTAATAACAAAATCCCCACAGGCATTCGGCTAATATCTGAGAGGCATAGAAGGGTTTTCTACCTACCAAGTAATACGAAGAGAATCCACACACGTTATGCTTTACTAAGAGATCTCAGCTTATATCTGACAGACTTGCACTTCAATGAACAATCTTATGCCTTCAGTTAACTTCTGTACATGCCTGATAGATCTTCCTTTATGTCAGGAGTTGGTGTCAAGCAATCCTAATCAGCGCAACTGGCGTGGAATCCTGATCGCACTTCTCGTCATTGTGATCGTGCTGGCATTGATCGTGACGTCAGTGGTGCTGCTCACACCGCCAGATGATGGCCCTAGGGTCAAAGGTCACCGTTTCAAACTGCAGGATATTCTGGGGCACGAATTTACGCCGCTACGTTTTAACGGCAGCTGGGTCTCCGGTGAGTATAAACGGTGTTAATATTAGCACTAAGTACAGGAATTAAGTTGTCCCTTGGGAAGCAGCGAAGTGAATTTGATCAATACCTAAACTGCATCTGCAGTTGCAGGTCTAGGCGGAAAGATGACACCGGAAAACACGCAGAGAAACTAATTCTTATCCCGTCTACAGAATAGGCAAGTGTCTTAGGAGAATTAACAGCCTACGGGCCCTTTCTCATGCTCAAAAAAAAAGGTAGATACTGAGTAAAACAGAAGTAACAGATTCTCTGAAGCATGTAACTGGAAATGTAGTGACGCACAAATGCACAATCTAAGCGTGGATCTTATCACCATCTAATACAGTGGTTTCTAAAGGAGGCCTGTAGTTCTGAAACTCTGCAAGGGTTCAGTCGATTTCGATGTGCCTCCACTGTTTACAATTGTAGCAATTTCTTCTATCTGAAAAATTACTCTCACATAGTCGAATGATAAGCATACTCAGCGCTCCGTTTTCAGGAGGTCTCCATTTCAAATCTCAGTCCAGAAGCAGGCTATCCTGACAGGTTGTCGTTTTCCCAGTTCCTCAACACAGTTCAGCAATATTTCCTTAAAATAGGCCATGGCCGCAACAGACCAATTCATAATTTACAGATCACACTGCAATTCAATAATACATAGTCCAGACAGTTGAAAAAGTGTCAATCGATATAGTCACATACATTTAGTGTCTGTTCAGAAGTGAGATGATTATTACAGGTTTAGATGCATGTAGCTGACAAGATCGCGTGTGTGTCTAAAAAGAAGAAAAGTAACGCATAAGGAAGAAATGGAAACGTTGATGGCAATCCACTTACATAAAACTGTAGAGAACAATGTATCGGGGATATAATTTATACAAGTCTCTCTTTAAAAAGTATTTTCAAGTAACGTAAGCGGCCGAATTCACGTGTACGTAATAATTCCGGTGAGTTCGCTCGACTGGCTAGAAATGACTGTTATTACAGATAAACGTGTATTAATTTGAAATCGCTTATGACGTCAAGCCTTATTACGTCAATAATTTTTAATACCTCAGGGAACATAAAACCGAAGTTGATAGAGTGTTTTTATAGGTAAGCTCTGCTGTTTGTAGAAGCAAAAAAAATACATTTTCTATGATGTTGGACCAAAGCTTCTTTTTATGGCGAAAGATAATATTTGGATGCAAGGTTTGTAAAATAAATGTTTCCTACCTTAATCAATTATTATTTTATCTCCGATTGTATGGTTACGTACGGAGTTGGGTCTAATTTATTTTCTTTGCCATGATTACATTCGATTTTCGCGTGTGTTGCATTAAACTTGAATTAATAATCATAAATTGCAGTTAACGAAATCAATGTTCTCGGAATACACAGTCTATGAAAATAATTATATAGCGTATATAAATTGGGCGATAAATAAGAATAGATAATATCTAATAACATTGTGCATTTCCAGCTAAGTGATATATATTCTTCCTTCAGCAGTTCGCAATTCATTAGTTGATCGACGTACTTCCTGCTGTTATGGAAACTACAGCCACATCACTGTCATGCAAAGACATGTCTAGAGTCAGTTGCAGTTTACGTCCTCGTAAACAGTTCCTTTAATGTTAGTTGTAATATTTCCCCTTCTATTTCTAGGTTTCCTACTTTATATCTTCGCACGAAATTTCCCTATACAAATACATGCCCTAGATCTATACACATCTTATCCCCTTGCAAGCTTCATAACGCTGTTGATTTATTCTTCTCAATTTAATCAAATAATAACAAAACGTCATATTTATACAAGCTGAAAATCCGAATTATGTAATTTAATCTGTTCCCCATTACTTAATCTTCAGGCTTTTAAGCACAAATTTTGTAAGCATTTCTCATATACCTGTATTCGAAAAATGCCCCGACCATATAATTCTTAATGATTTTATCACCCTAATACTCGGCGAATAGTTAAAATTAATGATCTCCTCGTTATGTAATTTTCAGCAGTAACATAATTTTTTTTTAAAAAAACTGTGTAATGATGACACGCACCGCAGAAAAGTATGTGCATCGAGTGTCGTTGTATAATACCATCAAATGTTTAAGAAGTTTAAAACTCTGCAGAGTATAATGTAGTAAGCATCCAAAGATAGACCTATCATGTAAACACAAAATATTACACTATGTGTGTGAGTTGGAAGTCCGGAAAAATGAGGTAAAGAAGTTGTTTTAATAATATGAATACGAGAGAGAGGAAGATCTGCTGCAACTCTTGAGGGCCACGTTTATTAAAATCTGCGTAAAAGATATAGGCCTACGCTAAAATAATGGCGAGGGAAGAGTTACAGCGGAGATTTTTTATCGCGAGAGCACAACAGGTTTAAAAAATGAACTTAAAATATTGACTGAATCTCCTTTAATAAACAACTCCAAAATTAAGAGAGCGCAACATATAAAGTATACTATTTACAAAATATGAAAAAGCATTTTAACAACTAATACGATGAAAATTATGACGTACAGTTACAAAAAAGAGGACATCGTAAATGCAATGCACGGTTGCTACGAACAAATACAACTGCTGGATCGGAGGGTGGAGGGCCCTGTTCACACATTGCCTATCCTGTTTGCATTTAGGACGCAGTAACAATGATGGCAACAGAAATGCGTTGAACCTTTCCCTGCTCATATCAATAGGCTTTACAGAAACTGACTAGACAAAGTAACAAATATTTACGAAATAACGTGAAATTAAATCTTAAAAACTTCAATAACACTATACGCGTTTCGAATGCGCGTCATATTATTAAGCGAGAATCAATATTCTTTAATACTCCAGCTTAACACTGACGACTACTGCTTCCTATAACGATGTAGCATGCTGGGAAAAAGTCGTGGCGTATTTTAAGTTTCAGTATCACTAAATACTTCCACAGTACAACGTGTGATTCGAGGCTCACGCTGCAGTTAAGAAGTGTTAGTAGAAACCAACGTTTCGGAGGAACATACTCCATAAATCTTCATTGATGAAGACTTAAAAATGAAGACAGAATATTTCTTCGAAACGCTGGTATCTACCTGTAAGCCCACATGGCGTCACAAACCTGAACAGCACTAATATTCCCGAATACAAGGCTAGAACGTTACCACTATAATAACTTGTTCGGCGAGACGCTGACAGACAGTATCTAGAGATAAGCATGGATCCGATCCCTTAGAACGCAAATCACATTTTGAATCAAAAAGCGAAATGATTCAGCACGGTATTTACTGAAGAAGTGTTACTTTTTGACACTTTATTTTGCTATGTTTCATAATTTCTGTTAAAGCTGCAGGCAGATTCCAATGCTTTATAAATACACTGTGAATATAAAGCAGTATAAACAAGGTGGATTCTATAAATGACATTTTATGATACGTTTGTAACATCAGAATACGCGCAGTAATCAACAAAATGTGTAAAATGTTTTGATATTCAACAGCTATTGTAGGAACCTTTTGTAAATTGTAATGGATATATTCATTTATTTTCAGTAGTGTGGGGAAGGGGGGGTTACAAAACACATTAAGCGCTCTCATGTATGAATTAATGACTGCATGAAATTCAGATTCACGTCCGACAAAATGTTTGTTTAGAAATAACGAGCACAGTCAAAACACGAAGTACTCGGTTCGAATCACAGCTGAGGTCTGGCTATCTTGACTGAAGTTTCACGTGATTTCTTTCAAACCTTCCAGAGAGACAGAACATCCTCTTACATTCACAGTTATCCTTTACATTCGACTTTACACAACCTTACAAGTTGATACAAAGTCGTATAATAATTTAATAAGAATTATGGAAACGACAGTAATACCAACGGGTTTATAATGTACATGCAGAACAGTGAAAACTACTTACATAAACTTCCAAGAAGTCTGTCTGTCTGACTGTTCACTTTATGGGCAAGTATAATATGTTCACTAATTCCAGAAACTTGGAAGTATTTAGCGTTTATTTTTATTACGCAAGAACCTCCCGATAAACAATTGTAGAACTGAATAATTAACATAACTACAACATCGCCGTCTTGCCTCTGTCCTCAAGAGAATTTTCAAATTTATTTTACGTTTTATACATCGGATTCATTAAAGGAAACCTAAGCCTATAGACAGGCTACTTTTCCAAAATATTCATCTTAATATCATCTCATCTACACATATCGTCTCGCAAGCGGTCTCTTTCCTTCATGATCCCCAACCATTTTTCAATTTCAGACGAAAGTTCATTCTGAAATATTGCTTTTGCCCTAGTTTTGTGTAGGTGTGGAAGACATAAAGTGGAGAAACGATCTTCTATTTGTAATGTTCTATTCGAAACTGCAATCTTATGAAACTCTTAGTACAATATCAGCGCTTTATGGCATTAAGCACTTGGTACAATTCTACGGTACTCTGGCCTGACCTGCAAATGCACCCGGCGCGACCGAGAGGTGGAACCAACAAACTGCAGTGCTGTACTGCTTACGAAAAGACAATACATTATGAAACATGGTCTCGTTGTTACTCGAGAACCATGCTTAGAAAGTCTTGGAGAACTCATTTAATTTGGGGCTCTTGTATCGGGTCGTGTCGGCTTTATCGATTTAACATTAACCTTCCGCCCTCAATTTCTCTCCGGATTTCTCCTATCCCTCGTTTTGCTTCTCTCTTCAATCCCAAAATCGTTATATAGTAGCTACAAAGTTATTAAAAGATACATACAGGAAAGTATTTCCGAATGCAGTTACAGACACCAGGAAGCCGATCAGGCTATCACAGCAGTAAACCGACTGACTTATATTTGAATGGTGTCCGGGTGGAATCTCTGCCTCAGCTAAGGCTGTTCTGAACCAGGCATTTCATGATATGGGAATAAGGGAAAAGAAAGTCCCTCCCGTACTCCATTCTTCTATTCATAATCAAGTTATTTCTCATTCGATGCCAGTTAATATCTCACTGGGAACGGACATACCAGAGAATGTAAAATTTCTGGT